CGTAATAGATTAAATTTGCACAAACAGCCGACATTCAATATAAAATTATTCGCAAAATCAATTATGCTGGTAAAATTTAAAAATATAACTAACTTTGATAACCTTTCAATCTGTCATTTCAAAATTATTTCAATTATCATCCAATACGAGCATAGAAAATTGTATATTGCATATGTTTTTTTTTTCTTTCTTTCTATTCTTTATAATCTGGATCTAGAAAATTTATCTTTTCTTCTACGATATATCATTTAATAAAACAATAAATGATTATATTCTTCTTCGACATAACCTAGGCCTAGAAAACTTATCTTTTCTTCTACGATAGATCATTTAATCAAACAGTAAATGATTATATTTGTTAATTATTATTATATTATTGCAATTTATAAATGCGATTTTAATTTGCACATAATATATATTCATAAAGTATATATATTTATTGTTATTATATTAAATATTTTACGACAAATTCCAAATATTTCTTGAACGTGCATATACATATCAAGAAAGATTAATAAAAAAATTATTGTCGAAGTCGATGAAATGATTCTAAATAATATAAGCAGAAAAAAATAAATATTTCAAATATTGCATTGTATTGTTTCATATTGTTTTTAAACGCGCTTCTATTGGTACGAGAAAATATTTAAATTAATTATTTCCTTTTATATTTCGAACGATATTGTATAATTATGTAATCTCATTAATGACATATATAAATCTCATTTAATAGGGATAGTATTTATTATAAAATATACAAACACGACAAAATAAAATAGTTCTAAATAAAAAAAAAAGAGAAATCGATTTAAAAATAAACATTAAAAATTAAAAAAATAAAATTATTTTTTAATAATAATAAAAATTTTTAATTTGAAAATTGTTAGATTTTTAATGGATTAAAATTTGATTAGTTATTAAAATTAAATAATAGAAAGAACGAAAATGAGGAAAGTTTCTTTAAAAGGAACAGTCATGTTTAATGAAATTGCGTAGTAATACACGTAAAAAGAAATATATGTTTGTTTTCTAATACCTTCAACGAAAAAATTTTTTTCTTTTTTTTCGATTTTTTCTCTTATCTGATTTTAGTCTAAGCATCTTTCTCAGCTACAAAATTGATATATTTTAATTATGCATATCTACAAAAAACATTCTTTCTTAAGAGTGAGCTAAGAAAGAGAAAGAATAGATGCAACAAGTTAAAAAAACTTAACACTCACTTAAGTTGTCCGCAAAACTTGAACCAAGATGCCCGAGTACGTAGAAAGTCAGCAACAGGATGTACAGCCATCGTTGAGGAGCTTCGTCACAGCCACGGTTAAAGCACCACGGTTCACACGCCATATTTACGAAGCAGCTAAATTCTCTTGCGCTACGAATATAAATCCGTGCGCTTCGTATAAATCCGTGTCTGCCTTTCGCGACCAACGATGACGAAGGGATGAACAAAAAGAGGGGATATGGAAAATGACAGAGATGAAAGGAAAAATGATAGACAAAGATAGCGATAAATAAAACGGCGAACGCTAAGGAAAGAAAAATATTTAAACGTTCGAGAAATTACAATTGACAATACGGCTTACGATTCGTCTTAGATAAAAATCCACTACGATTTTCACAAATGAGACTTAAATATGAAACCTATCCTAATCAAAAACAATTTTGTGTGGCACGATTATTTTAATATAAACACAGGATTTGTACGATAATTTGTGTTCCTTTCACGAACAAACGTGAACAGTATGCGAGAAGGCGAGACAGGCAACCGATACTTCTTTAAACCGGTATTGGATAGGCGAAAATAACGACGACAATTGCTTGCGGCGGGAACGGCATGTTGGCTCTTACTGGCTTACCGCTGCATTCTTCATTCGCTCTCCTGCCAATGTTTCCGTTACATTATCTAGATAATATAGAATCTAGAATCCAGATAATGGTAGAACCAATCATAGCATCGCTAATTCTCAAATTAAATATTTCAATATTTTTCTCCATATTTCAAGTGATAATATAACTGAGAAAACTCTATTTCTTTATCGATTTATTAAAATAATAATTAAATAATGATTTGTTATAAAACTAATGAAAAAAATATTTAATTTGGGCAATAGAAAAACGAATATATAAATAAAATAAATTTTTTTATGTCGATTCAATAAAATAAAAAATTAATTGAATTTTATTTCAGATCATTTTTTTTATCTTTTTTGTTATTTGATGATGTTTGATATATAAATTATAAAAATCATAATTTTAACTTCTAGGAATTCATAAGATTAAAACTTATAAAAAAATAAGGTTGCAACACTTATTTTACAGATAATTTATATCATTATAATTCTATTCTAACTAGAAAAGCGCATTATTAATATTTAATAAATCATAATAATATCATTTACATTTTCCAATTGTGTTACCATTTTTACCAACATTTGATAACGGCACAATATAAATAAAAATGACTATATACATGATCATTTAAATGGAATATTCATATTCAAACATAATTTAAAGAACAATAATAATATACAAAAAAATATTTATTATTTTAACCATAATCTAATGTTCATTTAGACAAAGCATGCAAAATATTGAGTAGATACAAAGATAAAAAACTACATTATTTATTTATAAGTTTTAATTTCACGAATTTCTAGTATTAAAATTATAATTTATATATAAAAGTTGAAAGAAAAATGATTCAGTAATATATAATTTAATCAATTAATTCTCTATTATATTAAATGTTTTGAAAAAATATTTAATATAAATTGTTATAAACACGTCGGCAATGAAGAATTCTGTATCTTCTAAAGATGCATTTTTTATTAAAATAAAATTTATTCTTTTTATCATTTTCATAATAATTATTCATCTTCTTTAAATTTTTTTATATTAGAAAAATAGGTACTTGATGAAGAAGAAAATTCAGAATATGTTTCATCAGAAATATAACTATCATAAGGAGAAATAGGAATAAGTTTCAATTTCATTTGACTTAAATTTGTATTTAATTTCAAACCACTGCTTATTATTTGATGCTGATTAAATATATCCTATATGAAGAGTTACAAGAAATAAAATTTAAATGTAAAAACATATTTTTTTGAAAAATAAAAAAATAAAAATTAAATAAATTATATATCATGTTTACCGTAACCATGATTTTATCTTGGAATGTTCTATGACAATGTGCATCATCTGAATCTTCTGGAAATTTTAAAGCTAAATTAACTTGTTTTATTTGTTCATGTTTTTTCTTCAACATATTTGATCTCTTTGTTGTTCTATAAATATAATCTAATTCATCCAATGCATTTAATGCTATAATTAGTTTAGAATTGCGAATTCTGGCATATTCATCTTTCTCTTCCATATCTTTTTGTTTATCCATAGACTGTAATATTCTCATTTGTCTTTCTTTTGTCATTTCAGTCCACATATAATAACGTTGAGTTATCAAAAAAATTGCTTGACCATCCATACCAAGAGGAGTAATACCACTTTGTTCAAAAAATTTAGCAATCTCTACCCATACTTGACCTAATTTCAATGCAAAATACATATTTATGGTAGACATTGTAATCTGTAAAAATATTAAATCATAAATTTTAAATATAAGTTGCATAATATAAAAATAAATATTTGTATAACTTACTTTATCTTCTAATGAAAGATTATTATTTAATATTTTATAATGCTCCTTGGCCATTAAATATCTTTCATTATCTCTTTCTATTATCTTGTAAATACTATATATTTTTGATCTAACTGAACCAATCATATCAATTATTGCTGGACTACTATCTTTAATTAATTTTGTGAAATAAGTATCAAATTGTTTTTGACTTATGTCAATCAATTCCTCATCTAAATAGAAAAACATGTTGTATTATAAATTAAAATTATCTTATTTGCCTTTGATAGTACCATTCACATTTTTTTTAATTTTAATTCTTATTTCTTCTTCTCTCCATATTTTTGCTAGCAAAGACATTAATCCTTTTTCTTTATTAATACCTCTCCATGTACATATAAATGGTCCACAAAAAAAATTATCACAAATGTCAGTAAAAAGAGCAAGAAATAAACAATGAGAACAATATGGAACAATTTCTATAATATCAAGGATAATGTATATTCCTCCATAATCAATAAATTTTTCAAGATTTTCAGGACACCATACTATACATTCCCAAATGTATGAACCTATTGCTAGCAAAAGACTAATAAAATTTTTTATGTAATAATACTTGAACTTTTCAATGTTTTTACTGTTATAAATACATATTACCGTTGATCTAGTTTAAATTCTTGATCTTTTTGATATAAGCAACGAAATAACAATTCCATACTTAATGTAACACTGTACTCTCCATAAATTTTTTGATAGAATATCTGTTTTTTTATAAGTTTTTCAATTGATAATAGTGTCAATGTTAAAATTCTTTGTTCTATCATTCTAATTTTGTCAAATTTCAAAATATATTGAATAAGTTCTATATATATAATACATAACAAATTAGTATGTAATTGAAAAATGATAAAATTTAATAATAAGTATAATATATAAGCAAAAAACTAACTAATTAATAAGAATATATATCCACATTGTCGAAAATATTCTAATATATATTTATCATTGTTCAGAATAATTATACAAATTGTTTTTATAGTAATCATTACTATTTTAATATCAAATTTTATGTCTAAACACCATTCTAGTATCATGCACAATCTATAAAATATTTAAATTTTATATTATATAAAACATAAATGTTTCTATTTTATTTACCTAATACCACCATTATAATCCACAAATTGTTTTGACATTTTTGGTACTAATATAGATAAAGCATTTATAGCATATATCCATATATCCCAAAATTGAGATGGATTCCATTTGATTTTTTTTTTTTTAATATTTGGATTAATAATTTGAAGTATAATTTGCATTAGTTTTTCTTTTTCTATTAACTATCGTTTTACATTAAATATTATAATAAAATATTAAAATATTTTTTATAATTTTTTATGTACATAAAACATATTAAAAATATAATTACGCAAGCATTAACTTCTGCTAAATTTATAATAATTAATAATATAATTTTTTCAAGATATAAATCTTCAATACTAGTGCCAAATGTTATTATTTCTGAAAATATTCTAACAGAATTAGTTTCAATTCCAATTAATATTTCAATAATAATATCAGCTATACCACTACCAACAAGATTCCAAGATGGTAAATTAATTGAAATCATAAGAATAATCATAGCAATTTCATTTCTAACTTTTGTATTAAAATATCTATATTTACTATAATATATTTGTCGTTTAAATGTATAACATAGACCCCTATATAACATAAATTTTATATATATAATATAATATAATATACATAAATTAATATATTTAAAAATATTACCATAAAGCACAATGAGTTGGTATTAAATTCTTTTTTAAATTAATTAATTTTTCATTAGAAAATGTAAGAGATTTCATCAAGCTCCATAATATGTTCATTATCAAAAGAATTGTTTCATCACTGTATTCATTTCCTTTTAATAACATATCAGGTGGACGCTTGCAATGTATTTGAGTTGCAAAAGGAAGATCCATTCTAATAAGTATGGTATTGAGTATATTAGCTTCTAGCATTTTATAGCCTTGTTTAAGATTATAAAATAAAAAATATAATCAATTCAAAGTTTCAAAAACTAAATTTTTCATTTAAAATATTAATTTTTTAGTACATACAACTTTCATAAGAGATAGATGATAATAAGAAAACTAGTTGTAAAATTTTTTCATACATCTTTAAATAAGAGGTACGTAATAATTCAGCTATAATTATTGGCAATTTAGATTTTTCCATTGCTTTACGGCAATGTTCCAATTTTACTGCAGCAATATTTTTTATTTCTGTTTTTAATAACAAAGAATGAAGAATTCTATGAATCTTTAATATTTGGTGTTCAGTTGGCAAGATTATAAGAAGATGTCCTAACAATGTAAAATACTGTTCCATTATATCATCAAGAATTAAACTATCAGATGATTTTTCTAACAAAGGTGGAATATTACAAAGTTCCAACATTCTATTAAGATGTAATTTATATTCTTCAACTGTTTTAACATTTTCAGCCAAAAATTTTAATACTTTTATTATCAATGGCAAATCTTTAATTTTCTAAAACTTTATAAGGAAATCTTATAGATAAATAAAAAGACATATTTTTATGTGAAGAAAAAATATATGAAGAAAATAATATTTTAAATATAATGAAAAAATAAAAATATATAAGTGTATACATAAACAAATGTAATTATATTCATTAAAGGATACATAACCATCATCTCCTACTTCATTAAGGAAATCAAATAAAAGTCTACATATACGAAGTACACTTGTATCTCTTGTTACAGGATCAGATATAAGTTCATCTAATTTTTGGAGAATTCGATGTGTGTCTAATTTTAATTGTCTATCAAAATCAAATACTTCTTTTGGTAATTTTTCAGTTTTAAAACAAAGATGGGTAACATATTTTGGACAATTAAATTCTTTCCAAACATCTTCAGGATTAATTTTAGAATCTTGTAATTCAGTTTTAGTTATCTCCATATGTTATCTTTTTATAAATAGAAAATATAAAATATAAAACTAAATATAAAAGTATTTGTGTATACTTATAAATTTTATATTACATTAAAAATAATATAGAAAAATTTCAAATAATATTAAAATGATTTAAATAAAATTTAAAAAATAATAATAATATTCTTACCTCTTTTTCAATTACTATATAAATTTTATAAAAAAATCAAATATTTCGATATTACCTCAGATAAAATCGCATTAAAAAGAATTAAAGAATTTACAATTGAATGTTTAAACCAATGTCTTTTGAAAACATCTAGATGGCGTTTTTGACGAATGACGCGCCGACTTAATATGCTTATTCGAATATTAACAAAAATATCTTGTCATTACATTTGATTTCATTAATATTTATATTATGTATTATAAAATATTAAAGAAAAATATCTACAAAAATAATACTAGATATAGATAGCTCTTACTAATTTAGAAAATATTTATATAAATTATAAAAATTGATTGTATCAAGATGTTCATATGTATATGTAATATTTAAATGTAGATGTATTTCACGCACGTGCAAGAGAGAGTTGCAACAGTCATCAACGCTATCGACAGTAGCAAGGTGTGTGCTCATATATTTTAATTTAATTAAATTTTTTACGTATAATGAATTTTATTTTTACTATTTAAAACACATTATTATCAATATAGAAACAGAAAGAGGTTAGTAATATTAATAATAATGTTTTAAGCTATATCTTTAGTTTTATGAAATTAGAAAGTACATGCTTCGTACAAGTATTTATAATACCATGCATTTTATATTTTCAATTCTTTACTAATAAAAGTTCAAACGTATGTTAAATACAATTGTATAATATGTTCGCTAAAATATACGTTAAACATACGTTAAACATAGCTTCGATATATTAAAATCATCATAGATAAATAGATTTAAAAGTAATTTTATACTATATTTTAAAAGTTATTTTTTAAAAATATTTATATTTAATAATAAATAATTACTATTTCAGTTTATATTATATACAATATTATAATATATTATAATTTATTTTAATTTTTCATCTTATCACGAATGAAAAGATTTTTAGATAATAATATCAAGTTCAGAAATGATAATCGATTTATTTTTATTATTTTTTATTTGATCTTCAGTAAAAAAAACTTTTTTTCGTTCTGATTTCAAAAATAGTTTGACAGTTTTGAATCAGAATAAAAAAAAGTGTAGAAAAAAGAATGTACAACATTTAACCGCGGATCAGTACGCCGGTACGGAGATCTTGGTCGTTTGATCGTCGCTCAATGTCGAGATACACGGTCGCAGGTAGTCGCCCTCTACTACGTTCGCACATAAGATTGGTTCGTGCGTGTATGGTAGTTTGGTAGTAGTCGCGACGCTGCCGAGAGCAGCTGAAGTGCGTGCACGTCGTTCTTCGTGATCTCGGGACACAGTGTTTCACAACGTATGTATGTGTAGATCCATTTCTCATCGAATTTCGCGTGCTTGCGAGGAAAAAGTGTCGAGAAATATTAAAAATCGACAAGATTGGGTGTGACTTGCGATGTGATAAAACTGCGACGACCTTGGCGGGACGGTGAGTGACCTTTTTGAATATGTTCGTCGACATTTCATTTTTTATCTGTGCACGGACGCAAAAGATATATGTGCCGGCATTTTTTGTATCGATACATTCTCACGGAAAAATGCTTTATTAATTGCTAGGATAACGAGATAAGTTTTCTACCTTTGCCTAGAATCCTTTCCGTGTCTTGATAAATAAAAATATTTTTTTTCATCTTATCACACACAATTCTTATTTTAACTCTTTACATTTAATTTTTTCTTTTAATTCAAAAAAATTCTTTCTAATAATAAGAATGCAATTCACGTCGTTTCTGTTATTTCGAAATTCATCCTCAGAGAGAAAGGAAGAGAGAAAAAGAAAGAATAGAAAAGGCGCGATCTATCCATGTATTTCTATGTATCTAGTAGAAAATTCTTAACATTTACACATACAATTAGCCTGTAGTAGTTTTTCTATTATTTTTCCAAGCGCTTCCCGTATTCTAGCTACGTATATTCGACGCGCAATAATGTATGAATGCGTTTGATCGATTTAACACATTGGCGTCTAGTGGTCTTTCTTGGCGCTTTGACGTACGTAAATACGCAAATAGGCACGCGATGAAGAAGCGCAAAAATAAATTATACAAAATCGAATGTATCGAAGCGTTTTTGATAAGAGGAGAAAGTTGTAACGTGAGTAGATGAAGACCCAGGGTGAATAAGAAGCCAAGAAATGCTCTGGTGTTAGAAAAATTTAGATACGCCGATGCGTGGAGGGTTAGCAGCCTCGTTTCTCTGAGCTGGCGAATCAATATTTGGAGGGTAAGCGTCCCGACTGTCGGCGTCGAAGCTGCGGAACGTGAGTCACTCACCCCTGATTGCGAGGGAGAAGGAGAGAAAGATGACTTTTCTCTTTCACCCTCTCTTCTTGTATTGTGGCTCGAGTAAACTCGACTTGGTTCGTCGATTCGTCTCGATTGTGTAAAGGAGTTTGCTACGTTTAAATTGAAGTTGCTTTTTCAAGCTTTTCATTTCTTGTCACCCTAAACCAAACTAAATATTCGATCGATCTTTTTTATTTGTAATCAATTTTTTCAATTGAGAGCTCGAAAATTACATTAATTTCTAAAGAATTCTAAAATATTTTTCTATTCAATCGTTACAGTTTGAAATAGTATTATTAGAGAGAAACCGGTGGAAATAAAAAAATTGAAGATAGCATCGAAAAGTTCAACACGGTTGTTGATCGTTGATGAAATTAAGAAATAAACACATATCGAAGTTATCGTCACGGGATTTAGTGTGGGAATATAATTAAGATACTTACGAATTTTTGGATGTCCCGCACAGTCGTAAGAACAGAACGTTAATTTACGATCTTTAAAGACGGTCGTGCACATATACAAGCGTGAAATGTATGCACCTAACTAAACCCGTTTGAGGGAGCTACGGTGGGAACAGGTTCCATAAAATTGAGCGTTCTTCCGTAAGATTTTTATCTGCAACTATCTTCGCACCATACTACATTTGCATCGATACAGTAAATTAGATATCTTGAAATTTTCTTTAATATTACGTTCATAAACTTTTATATTTTATAAAAATAAAATCATATAACTTTTTAGAAATGAATCACAAACAAGATAAAATAATCAATTGCAATGAAGGCAATGATTATTTTTGAAAAGATTTGATCCTATATTTTGAATTTAAAATTTAGAATTTCTTAAAAATTCAATAAATAATGTATAAAAATCTCCCGCATTTATTTTTCACGATAACAATGAAAGAAAACAATATTAGATGCAATAGATATTTGTAAATTAAAATAAAGCCGATTCAGGCTACAGGTATTTATAATATACTGTATTTATAATCAAGCGAAAGGCTAAGGTAAGAAAGCGAAGAAATGCAAAAGTGGCATTAATTTTCAAATAAACCGAAACGTGCACAACTAGCATGACTGGAAAGATGGTATCGTAACACAGTCACGATTTAAATCCTGGATTTATCCGCGCATAGTAACTTGAATTATTTTCTCCGGACATTCGTGTCGACTGGACGTGATTCCCCTTACAATTAATCAAATAGGATTATGGATCTTTTTTTCGCAGGAGATCTTCTCTCGCCATTGGTCCGTGATCAATTATTAGAGTTCGAAGAAAAGACGTTCAACGTGTCTGCTGAGAAATCAATGAGCCACGCTATACTATCTTCAACGATGTAGTAGCCGGTCTACACTTTATCCTTTTTCGATTTTACCGCGCACCGTTACGCGAATATGGATTCGCATACACTACTCTAACGGTTGTTATTGTAAGCTCCTTGAATTTGTAGAATTTATATATTTAATTTTCATTAATATTTTCAAAAGAATTCGTTATTATTTTAATATAAAAAAATTCCATAATATTAAGAAATTTATTATATTTCAGATTGCTCTTTTGATTCTGACTTGCGATTTTGATGAATCATTATTGACATTTTACTTTCGTTATACGATACGTTCAAAGAAAAATGTGAATAGATTTGAAAGTAAAACTATATTACTTTGCTGAAGAATTCTGCGTTGAGAATGACTCTTCAATAATGGTTTTTATTATTCAAAAGTAATTTTATTATAGGACAATCATTTTCAATGTTTATTTACGAGAAATATTGAACTTCTCAAAAGTGAAAAATAATTCTCGAGAGTTTTACTCTTAAATATGTTAGCAGAAAAGATCGAAAATACAATTTATGCAGAATTGTATGGATGAATATACAATTACAACTCAAATTGAGTCATTAAAATCAACAAAAATTTTGTTTTATATAAAATATTGTAAATTATGTATAGAGCAATTTTTTTTATTATTTATTTTTTATTTATTATTTTAAGAAAGTGAAATTAACCCTTAAAAATTCAATTTTTTTTCATTTTAAAATTTTTGAATCATACGAGATAAAACAAAATTTTAAATTATAAAATTATTGAATTTTTAATATATTATTTTACTAAATAAAAAATATTTCTAATTGAATTTCTATTCAAAAAATGTTAAAATTTCAGAGAGATCAAAGAAATACATCAAAAATTTAAATAATATATTACAAATTAAAGATAATAATAAATAACAAGATGTTAGATATTTTTGAGGTTAATTGTATAATATACAATATGTACGTATTAAATTCAAGTAAAGCGACTAGATTATAGCGTTAGTTCCATTGTCAATTAAAGGGTAACGAAGTAACATGCCGAGTTTTCAGCATGATCTTGTGCTTGCTTCGTTCTTGCAACCTTGAACGGAACCGTGTACACCGGTTATTGTAATAGGTATGTGGCGTTCCTCGCATGTTCATTCGTCAAGCGGCAGATAAACGAAGACAAGTCTGAAGAAAAAACAAAAATTTGCTTCTCTCGATGGTTTGGACCAAAAATCCAGTCAATCACGAATCGAGTTGGGCCGGTTCTTTCTCAAGAAAATAACTCTTCCCTAATTTTGGCCAATCTTCAACACATGTCTATTCGAATACCATATGTAATCGTAGGCCACAAAGTAAGGTTAAGATGATTGGAGAAGATGTATTTTATACGAAAATGTATAAGATGTATGTCAAAAATCGCGTAAAAAGCGATAATCAAAACGACAATGATATCGTGTAATCTTTTCGACACGTGTGAAAAAACAAAACTCTAAGGTTCATTTAAAACGAATGGATGATTCTTCGGTTCGAAACAGGGAAGGTGATTTTTCTGTTTTTTATTTACATCGATAAATAAGTTATCTTTTTTCATTAATAATTTTTATTTAAAAGAGCTGTATA